TCGAGGTCATTCTGATATTGTACAGTAGATCTCCTAGAACGTCACAGTGCCACTCGGCCCTTGCCCCTGCCCCTTGCTCGAGGTTGGGAGAGAAGGAGGGTAAGAGCGCGGTTGGTGGCCGTACCCAGGGATACGTCAGATGCTGCGTACTCTGCTGCTTGCTTATGTTCGCTCAAGAGCTCTCTCCCTCCCTCCCTCCCTCCCGCTTGCTTACTTTTGTTTCCCTTCCTCGCCCACTACCGCCGCCATTGATTTTTTTTTCTCCGCCCTCCCCCATCACATGAATGCGCACACAACCCAACAAAAACAATATTATTGCCACTCGGGGTGATGGTGACGATCGTATATAATGGATGGTGATGATGATGGCGACGGTGATGATCATGGTGTCGATGATGGTGATGATGCCGATGATGGCGATGATGGCGATGATGCCGATGACAAGATGGGAGAAAGGTGACGGGCGTCTCCTGCCCGAGTTCCAGTGCCACCGCGACCTGTACGAGCACAAGCTCCGCCAGCAGGAGGCCCTGAGCAAGCAGCTCCGCCGGCAGCAGCGCTCCATCAAAGAGAACGAGGGTCAGTTGTTTGGCGCGATTGTTTGTTACTGTCGTTGTCGTTGTTGTCGTTGTCATTGTTGTTGTTGTTGTTGTTGTTGTTGTTGTTGTTGTTGTTGTCTTCAAAGAACCCCCATTCTGAGACCACCAATCCAAAAGAGTGACGTCATACTGTAGTCGTTCTTCCGTCATAGTGCAACCCTTCGTCCAATCAGTGCTGCTGCCGCCGGTTGTTGTTGCGCCCTTAACCCGCCGTTTTTTACCCAACGAACGCAGGCTCGAGCACGGTTCAGAGGCGCATGTTCGGCGGCCTGCACGCTCTTCTCAAGTGCAAGATGGCCCTCAACGGCGGGGAGGCGGGTGACGACCTCCTCGGCGATGGAGGAGGCGTTTCGGGTAGCAAGGGGGGGCGAGGCGGCGGCGGGGGTGGCGCGGGACGGGGCGGGATGGACGAGGCCTACCTCAAGGCTATCGACGCCCAGGGCGGCGGCGGCGGCGGCGGTGGCGGTGGCGGTCGGGGCGGCGGTGGTGCACCCGACGTTATGACGCTAGAAGATCGAGACTGAGTCGTAAGGAAGAAGCGGGGGTACCTCCGTGGATGGATACGGGCGTGCCGCGATGTAAAGGCCCGGCTCTGTCATCTCATTCTC